CTCCTTCTTGCTATGCACATCTTCAGGGAAGTACTTCTCCAGAAAATGCGCTCTGAATATATCCCAAATAACCTTAGTACCAATAACCTCTAGTCTCTAGTGTGTGTTATCTCATCAATCATTAAATTCCTCAGACAACATGAGAGTTCTGAACAATACCTTTTGCTCCTCAGTACATGCCATCACTCGGAAAATATTTTCAATATATTTCAGTCGTGCATGAGCACCCTTCGGGTCGTATCTACCGTTGAACGTTGGTGGATTATTCCTCTAAAATTTTCCCAAGCCATAGAATTCATCATCAGCCTGAGTTTGTTGTCCATGTAGCGGATGAGCCACTAACTCCAAAGCATCGACAATTACACAATCATTTCTTCCACCCATCATGCACACCATCAAATAGACATTAGAAGAAACAATGTATTGACAATGTATACACACATGTCGCATACTAGGGAACAATTATCATGCAAAATTTTGTCGGATGGACCGAGTTTCTCTGATACCACTATGTAACACTCAAAACCCCAAAATTTGTATAAAAGGTTTACTTGACAATTTAAGGTGGCACCAATGACAACTTTCTAACAAACAATTTTAAAAAAATGCAGCGAAAAACAAATAACATACAACACCTGTCATCACATGCTCGCCTTCACTTAGGGTATCATCACAGCAGAATTATAGTAATCACAATAATAAAACCTATTAACTTCAATCTGGGTCTTATGAAGACTTAACTTCCACAAAATACTTCAAAAGGTATTTGAATAATCAATTCTCAACAACTTCAAAACAATTCAACATATTAGTTTATAAACTTCAACAAAACAAGTAAGTCGACATCGACATAATGAAATAAAACCTTGTTCTTCCTAGTGTTACAGAATCAGAGCATAGCGACTAAAAATGCAATAAAATAATAAAAATAACTCCAGGAGCTATTTCTCACTCACATCAGCAACTCTACTCTTGAGTATCTGTAAGATGTCCATGATGGACAACATCAAAGCAAAATGAGTGAGAATTTATATCAATAATTTAACGGCATAAGCTATAAGATAGAATTCAAACATATTCACAATCCAACAACAAACACACAACATCATTCTCACACCCAATCTATCAACATACATCAAACAATCTCATATTCATCATTTAATTATGCAATGAGACTCACAACATCAACTAGACTCATATGCATGTGGTACCATATCATCATCAATTGGTTCACTCAGGAACCGAGTTCACCCTGCTCAAACCTCAAATCCATCTTTCTCAGATTCGGGAGAAGTCGCCAATCCACCCTGCTCAGATTGCAACTTGCCTCTTTCATCAACAACAACGACATAATGAATGCATGTCACAACATGTCAATGCAACAACAACATAATGGTTAAAGTCCTCTCCCGACAATAGGCAAAGCATGCATTAACCCAACGGTAATAGTTCTCCTCCCAAACTATCATCCCACAACAACATACTCACAATTCAGCAACATAAACCATTCTCATACAACAACATATCATTATCACAATTCACAAGAATTAACACAACATCATCATCACGTATGCACATATTCATCATTCAACAAATACTCCATAAAATATATTAAAATCATGTTTAATCATTAAGTCATACCAAAAATAATTTAAACAGTAACTAACAGGGCATAACAATCCTCCAAACATCCACAAAAGTCTAAAGAATTGAAATCGGCAACTTAACATCATCAAAACAAGTATTTGCGCTCGCTGCAAACTCATGACGGGTTACCCGTCAAGGTAGTGACGCTCGTCACCAACCTAAAAACTCCAGAACATCACATGGGTGATGACCGACTTGTAAGACAAACCTGGGCAGCATAACGGGTTAACCGCCACGATGGTCACGCCGTCCGCACCCTGAAACCTGTAGAATTTCGCCTTTCTCATAGAGTTCATTATAGAACTCTTATTTATCATTCTAGGCATACTAAATCGATCCAAACACATTACATGCATGTTATATATTCATCAATAACATCTAATTTCATCGAATTAACAACTTTAATTTATGGTTTTCATAAAATCATGTTAATCCTAAAACCTTCAAACCCACAACAATGGTGAAAATATGTTAACTCTTTAGAACATAATTTGTCACACAACATAGTACACACATTTCATCATCAATCATCATCACATACCACAACTCCGACATAAATAATATAATTATGTTAAAATCTCATTTTCCCTATTGGAGGTTAAGGACTCCTCAATTCTACCCCTCATGCGTATACCCATTATTGAGATAGTTATGTCCCCTTACGTGGTTATCCTAGCTGTTCAAACTCTGGTTGACGAGTCTTCTTCCTCAAACTCTAAGTTTTTCCTCTCCTCTTAGTCTTCTAGCCTCTTCCTCTCTAATTCTGGTTTCATGTATTGTTTGGAATCCTTCCCTAAACCTAGGTTATCTCCTAATTTATACAATTAGGATAATCTAATTAAAATTATAAACTCACCTCTCACTTACTAACATTCTCACTCCTTCCTCCCCTTTATTTTTCATAATTCTCAATTCATCCTCAAACTCTCTATTTTTCATTTGATTAATTAAATTAAACTAAAAATATTATTATTTTAATTACTAAAATAATCCCTAATAATTCTATCTCACTTCTACCAATCTCTAATTATTTCTACACTCTTATTTCGAGGTCACACACTCCATTTTCCAAATTAATTCAATTATCGCACATAATAATTAAATTAAAATACACATAAATCAATCAAAATAATAACTTAAAACTGGGGTGTTACATATTCCCATGATATAAGAGGTTGGGGTATATCTAGAAGGCTTGTATGATACATTTGTATTGTGTCATTACAGATAACACATTACTAAAGAGGGAGAGGTATGATACATATTATGTTTCATTCTTGTTTTATGTTACTTCAAGTTAATTTTATAATTTTTCTGTTATGTGAAGAGCCCCTTAAATGCATCAACAATGGGGAATAAGTTATCATATTCAAGATTCCTAAAGAAGATTGGTTCAGTGATGCAATTAAAGACAATGAGTTAGCCAACCTTACCAACATCGAGTTCAACATAGTTAGCCATAGCTTGTTGACAACCTTCTCAAAGAGGTGTCACGGGGAGACGAACATCTTCCCCCTCACAATTGGGGAGATGGCGGTGAAACTTGACAATGTTTCATAACTTCTACAAAAGAGTTCAAATGTTGAGACAGTTCAAATATTTTAAAAAAAGTCGAGTATTCCTTATGGCTGAAAAGGATAAAGAATGTAGTTTTCGTGTTTTCAGTAGGATACATATTACATTATATTTTTTTTGTATATTACTTAAATTATTTTTTATGTTGGTGTAATTTAAAAGGATTATTATCAAAGAAATAATTCTAATATTGTAACAACAATTTAAGATGATAGAATCTGAAATCATTCTAAACATTTTTGGCATAGTACGGATGCACTAACACTTTATATGGACTAAAATAGATAGAAATTTGTATGGTTCAGATTCTATAACTCAAAATGTGTCATTGAATTCTTTTTGTATGGTTTACATTACAGTGATACTTTATATGAATTAAAATGCACACTGATACTTTATATGAATTAATATACACAAAACTTTGTATAAAATGATATATTTGGTTCATTTGCAATTTGTAACATAAAATAATGTCTTTTTATCCATACCGAGTCAAAATGAACAAAGAGCAATTTATGGAGACTCTTCTCCATTTGTTCAAGATCAGTATCGATGTTACACTATCTAATATAAAACATCAACTATTCAAATGAATTTTTGTCTCAACCACCAAGACACAAAAAATGTGATCGGTGTGGAGTATCATCATCTAACAATCAACAATGATGGACATATGTAGCTTATCAAAATGCAACTTCTAAACAACAATGATGTGAGAATTATGTTCTTAATATTTAATCAGTATAATACAAAAGAATCAATCAATTTAAATTCGTTTGTGTATTTTGTTCAAACCCGATTTGTGTTCAATATTACAAATATGAATAATATGGATAATAGTCTCACATTGGATAGAAATATAGTGACTTGAACATTTATAAGTGAGAGAACTCACCCACCTATCACCTTAAAATTTTGGGTGAATATGTAGTATATCACAAAAGTCTTGTGCTAGAAATAAAGTCTCACAATATTCAATGTTCCCTAGTGAAAATCTCCACTTAAAAAGTGTTGAAGTGTATGCGGATGAAAAGAGCGGATAGACTCGTCCTTGAGAGAGAGTGTTAAATAAGTGTGAGTAATGTAGATAATAGTCTCAAACAAGTGTGAGTAGTGTGGATAATAGTATCATATTAGATAGTAATGTGGTGTTTCTCTCACAAAGTTCTTGTTTTAGAAATAATAGAGTCTCACGCATATGAATGAATTTGATGAAGAAGTAACTAATGTGTCTTATCTATGATCAATTTTGTATTTTGTATTTTTTGGTATGAATCTTATTCGTATTTATTTGATTTCATTCACAACTAATTGTTCGTGTTTGAAAAATAATATGTTAAATTTCATCTAATTTAATTAAGTGCTTATGTTCATTGTGTTTATATCGTACAAAAATGCAATCTAGGCATGTTGAATAGTGCAAGGATATGTGTACCATGCATAACAACAAATGACATAACTCAAGAACATAGCTTAAATAAATAAGTTTAGCAAGCTCTAAATTATCATGATGTATTTTTCCCATAAGCTTCATATAGCATTCCTTTACAAACATCATAATCCATCGAGGGGCACATTTTAGACAGAATCATGGGATCATGATTCATGAATAGGCACACCAACGTATACATAGTGCACAACTTATTTGAGTGAAGGATTCTAATTTCTCCATAACACAAAACAAACCAGCAGAGGTTCATTCATTTGGTGAATATGATGCCATGCCCATTTTGGATTTAGAGATGAACCAAAACCCATATAGGTAGGTGAAGTATGGTTTACTGTGCAGAGTAAGATGCAGTAGATGGAGTAAAAATGTACAAGTGAGCATCATGAGAATCAACTTGAGCACTGAATGATGAAACCGCATCTCCTTTTATTACCTTGTGCTGCAAGATAGTGAAGGGACAAAAACTTCTGAGATAACTAGTCCTTAAAAACCAATTAGACAGTAGGAAATAGGTAAAGCATTTCGCCTAGTAAGATCAAATTGAAAGACTGGTTAGAGAAGTTTCGCGCAACTAAGCAAGCCTACCTGCCACAAATCCCTCACAGAAACATGAATTCCAGATTCAAGGCCAAGTGATGCCCATGAAGCTGTTATAGTGGCAACTTTTGAGCATCGATTCCAGAGAGCAACAGCCAAACGGTTTCCTGATAAAGGACCTGCCCAAACCTGTAAATAAATATGTAAAACTAAGTTTAACATACTTCAAGCAATATAAGTAGCAACAAAATACAGTCTATACAGATGGTCAAAATATATAACAGTATTTGTTCTTGATTCTTTTCTCAGTTGAATAGGTATAATTTCAAAGACCGGGCAAGATCGCGTGTTTTAGAAGGTAAAAGAAGTGTACATGGTGAAAGTATTTTCATTCAAGATGAATATGAATACAAGTTCCTTGATCCAGAAAAACACCATTAGAACTATATCCCGTGACTAGAAGGTGATACATGATAGATTTTACCTGGGCACAACCATCTGTTCCAGCAACTTGAACTTTCCTACCCTGGACTCCAAGTGAGTCTGCAGAGACACGTAAGAATTAGAAATCTTACTCATCTAACCTTTTTGAATAAGACTAATGAAAAATATATATATACACCAAGTAGTAACAATATAAACAGCAAAGCATAGAAAGAAAAACACAAGTACTACCTTGATTTACAGCAATGACTTCTTTGTTGCTTAAAATCTCAAGTGTTTCAGCAGTCATATTTCTTACATCACAACCAATCAATAGAGGAGCCTGCACACAAGTTTAAAATTTTGAACATGTAAAAAATCGAGCCATAGTATTTGTGCTAAGTTTAGATCTTTGCAAATATATCTTCATGCTTTATTCACAAAATATTATGGCCAATACCAATGAAAATGAAATGAGGATTATCATCGTAACACATATTGAGCAGATTGACAAATATCAACTAGCCTTAGGGTACTTTGGTCCATGCCAAATCCTTACAGCAAAAGAAGGAAAAAGAAATAGAAATTAAGAACATCACCTTCGCTAAAGCCCAGATGCTAAAGTGAGCACGGTATTCCTGGTAAGTCATGCCACCATTGCCAACTTCCAACATATCTGGGTCTGTCCAAGAATCGTATCGTAACATGAGAGATAAGCATGAATGTCTTGTTTGCTCTATATTTTCAATTAAGTTTCAAAAGAGATAAGCGTACCATTCCATCCTCCAGGACCCGCATATGCAGCCCACTTGTCATTAAGATCGGCAATAGTTGTCATGCTAAACATAAAAACATCATTTTTATAATTCGACTACATTATAAACAAATACTTGGACAAAAATGATAGTTGACAATGTATTAAAACTCTGCATTGATGTTATTAAACTATAGACATCCCTAATAATGTTGAATGCACCGTCTATAAATCAAAGTCCAAAAATTTAACCTTGCCCATGTATCATTGATGTCATTGGTTGTGCGCCAGCTATTACCAACCTTGCCTGCCCACAAAGCAGGGTCGTCAACACCCCTGTGAAAGCCAAAATATAGTTGTATAATGTCTGTCATGTTATCTATACCATATGTAAACCAAACTCATAACAAAAAACAGACACGCCTTATTACCATTCACAAATAGAATAGAAAATTTTACGTCCAGTGTCATTGAGGGCATCACGCATAGGTGGATATCTAGAATACATGAAAACACATTTATTTAGTTTATATGTACCGGTTATTGTTGCTTTTGAAAATTAAGAGACAGATGAGAAAGAAAAACCTTTTTTTAGGAGGGATGCCTAGATTGTAACAATTGTCGTACTTCAAATAATCTATGCCCTGGTAAAATGTTAGAGTGGTGTGAAAATCACTAATAAACTACAGGAAGATGTAAGTAGAAACAATTTTAGTTTATAAAAAATGTGACTCAGATGTTTAGTTATGAAGCAGTTGTTTCTAAAACCACCTCAAGATGTCACTGAGACGTTTTACATTTAAATTTACCAGACAAGACTAATAGATATCACTTCACTGTTTCCTTTAGGAATTCTGGAGTTGTGCTGCTTCTAAGAATCTAACTATGACACAGCGGACATAATATCTAGGAAGATCTGTCAATGCAAAGATGAATAAAAACCATCTATACACAAATTTCAACGTTATCAATGGGCATAACTTTTCATTCATTTTTCTTAAGAACATAAAAAAGACTTCCATTAAATGACTTAACATTGTATCTGGTCCAAATTTGGTGTTTATTTTTTGAAAAGGCTAAATTTGTCTCAAATCCGAACTTCATATCCAAAGGTTGGTTTTATTTCCTTAAAAAAAAAATTCCATAGAAAGATATACTAGGCTACAGAACTAAACTATTTACATCAGATGTAATTTGAACCTAACGCAGCTCATTAATGCACACATAAAATAGAGATGAATGAATATACTTCTATTCTTAGAACCTCCCGAGTCCATGGCACATGAAAAATATCTGTCACGCTTTTGCAAATTATGAAATAAGATATTCGAATCTAACCCAAGAGGCAAATAAATCTGCATCATCATTTTCGTGGAAAATTGATCCTGGTCGGACTTGACATGTAAAAGCCCTAATATCAGTTGAAAGCGAAAAAAATCAGTTAGTCACAATCAAAATGGGATTCACATTTTATAAATGAGTTAAAATCTTCCATATAAAATTTTGCAAAGTATCCTACCCAGCATCAGAATATATACCAAGCTTGAGTCCCTTTCCGTGCACATAATCCGCAAGTGATTTGATTCCCGATGGAAATGTCTTACGATCAGGTACCAGGTCACCCTACACTTACAAACCAAATCAAAAACTATAAGAAAGAATCTATATTTATTGAGAGAATGTTTGAATAATTGAGTTTCAAGCATTGTATCAAATCAAATCTTATCCACATAGAAAATGAATTGTACATGTAATCATGTATAATATTCACACTTTCCAGCTAGATTAAACATTAAAGACGGCAAATATAGCAGAACATTGGAGGAATAAAGGAAGCATTCGACAAAAGGCAAATAACCGTTTCATAAATATACCCGACCAAGGCAGTCTTTGAGGGACCAAAATTTGACAGGCTTAATTGTGGCTAAAAAAGGCCTCATAAAATATTTGTCGCCATTAAAAGATGACCAAATATACTTCCTATTTGGTTTGGTTAACCTACGGCCTCTGAAAACTTAAGAGGGCCTTGCCGAGGACTTACTATTTATATATATTTTCTGCAGTACTACTTAGCCAAAACATAACATATGACAATTGAAACAACTTTTCCTCATCCAATGAAATGTTAGACAACATTGAAAGCCAACAAGTATTTACAACAAGAAAAGACAATAGTCCTAAACTTTATCCAGTGATGTTGAAAGGAACAAATTTTATCTAACCTTCAAATTTCTTATCACAGAAGACCAACAATCATCTGCACATTGTAAATTGCAACATCAAATACACTTACAAGTTACAATAGATGACTTATAATGTCAAAATTTTCATATTGGACGTACAAAATCATTACCTATATTGACATAGTTATAACCTAACTCAGCCAATCCCGTAGATACCAGTGCATCAGCTAGAAAAATATAACACAAATCAGTAAAGTAGAAATGAATATGAAGGAAAAAAAAACTGAGGAAGAAAAGAATACCTGTTTCCTTAATAACCGTTTCATTGATATTGCATGCAAAAAAGTTCCAGCTGTTCCATCTACAAACACCAAATCATCATATCACATAAAAATTAAAATCATACCTAATTCCGAAAGTAGAAATTGATTTCATGAATTGAAAGAAAAAGAGATAGAAACAAACCCCATCTGAGGCGTGAGAGCCAAACCATTATTAATCTGAAGAAGACCGTAGTTTGAAGTATCATAAATAGTATGAAAAGTTGATCTGAAATTGGAATTGCCGTAATTTTGCAAGAGAGGTGCGATTCTTGCTGATACGGTGAGAGAGGAAGCATAGAGAAAGAGAATGAGCAAGTGCGTCAAAACAGTTTTGTTCTGTATTTGTTTCGCCATTAATGTTAGTAGAGTAGTAGCTTCTTAATTGAAATTTGTGCAGACGCGGAAATAGGTTGGTTATTCACCGATTAGGAAGTGTCTGGAACACAAATATTCAAAATTGTTTGAAAATGATTTGCCAATTTTTTTCACATATATGCCATTCATTTATGATCCTTCGTTATTTTATTTTATTTATTTAATAATAATATTATTATTATAATTATCAACAATTATTATATATATCAAAATAAAAAGAATATCTCATGTAATACGTGTGAGTATCTTAATTTATGCGACATAATAAAATGGATTGTATTAATTAGTATTATTAACAACTAATCAAGTAGGCTTGAAAAATATGAATACATATCATTTGAATTTAATCAGTATACGGTAGTTCTATTTTGCTTAAGCGTAGAAATATGTTATACCCATAAGAGGGTTTATATGGGTTTAATTTACACATTCATATTAGGTCTAACTTTGTTTTTTAAACAAAAAGAATTTATATTTTTTTATAAGTTTATTTAGTTAAAAAGATGTATTTCATGTCATGAAAAAAAAATTTAAAATTTAATAGACTGATCCATTTAAATAAATATGAATAAATTTTTGTATTATCATTATATTATATTTTGTACTACCTTGGTCCTAAATTATAAATTTTTTAGGTATTTTACGAATTAAGAATTACAATTATTACTTTATAAAAAAGTGAAATGATCTATAACTTTTATAAAATTGCCCTTTATTAATTATATTGGGGAGCGAACTAAATGAATAGAAAAAAGAAAGAGAAATAAATGATAAAGGATATATTTAAGGATGTTAATGGGGCTGGGCGGAGGCGGGGGGGACATTTTTCCATCTTTGTCCTCGCCACCAAATTCATTTTCCGTCCTCGATCCCCGTCACGGAGGAGTTTCTATCCCCATCTCCGTTCCCTGCGGATCTTCGCTCCCCACATATCCCCGTAGATCCTACATTTATCCATTAATATTTTATTTTTTTAAAATATCTATATTTTCTATAAAAAATAAAAAGAACAAGTATTTCACATATTTATATTGTTATTAAATTTCACATTTATTATTTTTTATTAAAAGTACTAATGGAACACAAAATAATAATACTTTTTATAAAATTTGACAAAAATTATAATATTTTTGCAAGTAACAGTATGCCTAAACAACTACAAAAATTATATACATTAATATTTATTTATTTTTAAAAATAAACATAATTGAAATGACGAAAAAAAATTTAATGTAAAATATAAATTATATATTAAATTAACTAGGCGGGACAGAGATGTGTTCCTCGTCCCTATCTCTAAAGTGTTGTCCGTGGAATTTTTCTCCCCATCTCCGCCTCTGTGTGGGAAAGTTCCCCACCCCGAGCGGGGTAATTTCCGCAGGGATCCCCGCTAACAGATGTAAATTGACATTCCTAGCTATATTAAGAAAAAAGTCATTAATGTTGTATTGAGATTCTAAAATGACTTATAATTTGAGACAAATATTTGTTTTGCAAAGTGACTTATAATTTGGGACAAAGGTAGTACTTTAAATTAAAATACATAAATAAAAATTGATTGTCTTGGAGAACTTATGAAAATAAGATAAAAACAACTTATGAACAATGTTATAAGTTATTTTCATAAGTTATCTTAAACAAATAATCTCACAAAACTTATATGCTAATAGATAACTTAAAATAAGTCAACTTAAACAAACTTTTTGTCTCATTGATTTTTTAATTTGTTAGTCTATTTAAAACAACAGGCTTTTATGTAGGCTAACATGCTAATCAGGCCTTATAAATGGTCAGACTCAGGCATAAAAATAAGCATATGGCAGACTACAGGTCAGACTTAGCCTTTAGTGTTTTTGGCAGGTCATGCTTAGATTTGACAAAGCCTAACTCGGCCTAGCCTATTTCCACCCCTACTTACACCTAGATCAATCAATTCAATTTATAATGTTATCTTTTTTAAATTAATTTTTAAAATGTTTTTATAAATGTATATTTTTGGGGTCCAATTACAAGTATGTATTTAACATGATCGAATGAATGTGTGAATATATTTTATATGTCCACATATACAAATTATTCTTATTTAATTTTTAACTTGAATTAGTCTAATACATGTGCATAGGGGTGGCAAAACGGATCGTTCACCCCGCCTCACTCCACCTCGCCTTAAGCTCGCCAAAAAAAGGCAGGGTGGAAAAGTCCGCTAAGTTAAAATGGACATAAAAATCTATCGCGCTCCGCCAAAGTGGCGGGTTGGCGAGCGGCAGGCTTGCCCGCCTAATTTTTTAAATAAATTAATAGGCTAGTTTTTACATTTCAATTAGATTTTTCACTTATTTTTTAGAACAATTTTTATAAAGCATTTTTTTAACAAATTTTATTTTAAAAAATATTGCATGTATTCTCAAATAAATGTATAAAATAAAACCATTAAGAATTAGAATTACCAGAATTAACTAATAAAGAGTGTGTTTGAGGTGGGACAAGCTGAACGAATAGGTGCGGCAGACTTTCGTGTGCGGCAGGTTTTGACGGGGTGGACTTTGGCGGGTGGCGGTCTTTAGCGAGACAAACTTTAGTAGGCGGCAGATCCAAAATCCCAACTCAACCCGCCATTTTCCGCGAGTGCGCGGGGAGGTCCGGCGGGCCACGACCCGTTTTATCATCCCTACACGTGCATCTATTAAGGTAAAGTGTTACTTTAAGAACTCGCACATAATATCTTGTAAAATAAGTTTCGTTTTAATTTTAAATTTATTTTAAATTTTTATCTTTCAATTATACATTCTAAATAATATACTAAATTTATTATTCTCTCATTTTTTTATATTTATGATTATTTGAATACACTAATAATAAATAAAAATAATTTGATAAAAATATTATTTCATGTATTCTATTTATCACGTTTTTTAATGTGAAATAATCATCTAAAATAAAGTTTCACACTGATTTCATATTTAATAAATGTTATGTATTGGTCCCTTGATAACAAGTCTAATTTTTTTTGTTAAATGTTAGGGAAAATGTTAACTTTGGCATATCTAGGTGGTATTGTATTATCTGACCTAGCTTTTACTCTCTCTCTCTCTCTCTCTCTCACACACACACACACACGCACACACATGTTAGATCTTCATGAGGAGCATCCATATTGGATAAAGCAACACGTAACTGAGAGACACCACATATTCATCCAAAACCTTAAGGTGATAGTTGTATAGATTCTCTCACTTTTAAAGTGCTCAACCTACACTTTTCTAAGTAATGTGAGAATTTTAACTCACAGTTAGTTGTATTCAACAATTTGTTGGGAGGAAATCCAAACGCAATGGAATAATCCGACAACACAATCTCTCCCGAATATCAAATGCAACAATAACTAACAAAACACACACAAAAAACACCACATAACACAATTTTAGCGTGGAAAAACCTTCATTAATAAGGAGTAAAAAACCACGGGACACATAGGACACCTAAATCTCCACTATAATCAAACAATGAGTATAATTAAGGTTCTCTATAACACTAGTTAGAGGCATACATAAACATCATCAAGATCTACAATCAATATTAGAATACAACAAGAATCAAGAGAGACCAATGAACCAAAAACACCAAGAAGATCCCACCTCACAAACAGACTTGTCAGAAAGACTTAGAATGCTCACAATCCGATTTCCATTGTTCAGAATGTACTCCAATGAGTGAAAAATATTGTGCCAAAATTTCAGGATGATCCAACGGTTGAATTATGGGAAAACTCCAATCTCGTAAAATTGGTCTGTGTTGAATTAGGGCTGCGGGATTTAGTGTGGCTACTAGGGTTTTTACTTTTTCTCCTCTCTTTGTTTGTTGTTTTTCACATACTAACCCTATTCCTTTTTGTTGGATAATAACAAAGACTTACAACACGTGGGCTACTAACCCACATTCATTTGGGCCACTTTAAATAGAAGGGATAGCCCAACTAACTCCCTTGACCGACTAGTTGGAGGGCAACACCAATCTGGATACCGTGCGACAAAACTTAAACTTTCTCCTAGGCAACACATTCATCAACATATCTGAACCATTGTCATGTATATAAATCTTCTCAAGCTCCATCATCTTTGAATTTAATGCTTCACGAATCTAATCATAATGAACATCAAGTCACGGCTTCAATAGTAGATAATGCAATACACTTTTGCAACTTCGATTGCCAAGCCACGACTCCCCCCGACAAAAGTCACCATATACCCCCGAAGTAGATTTTTGACCATCTAAGCTTCTGGCTAGATCTGAATCTGTATACCTAACCAACATAGGCTTATTTCATCCCAGTGTTAGCTTTAAATTTGATGAGCCACGCAAATCACTCATCACCCACTACACAACCTCCCAATGATCTTTTCCCGAATTTGAGAGATAACGACTCACCATTTCCACGACATAAGCAATATCAGTTTTTGTACAAACCATATCATACATCAAACTACCAACGGCCGGCGAGTACAAAATATTCTTTATACACAACTTTTCTTCATCTGTAGATGGAGATAGTTTACGACTAAGCTTGAAATGAGAATCAAGTGGAATGCTCACCGCTTTAGCCTTATCCATACTAAAACATCAAAGGACTTTCCCCATATAAATTTCTTGTGACAAGTATAACTTCTTCTCATTTCAATCTCGAACAATTTCATTACCAATAATTTTTCGAGCCTTTCCTAAATCCTTCATAGCAAAAGTTTCACTCCAAGTATTCTTCAACTCTTTAATTCTTGAAATATCCTTTCCAAAAATTAGCATATCATCCATATAAAGCAAGAGAATAATGAAATCACCTTCGGAGAAATTCCGGAAAAACACACAATAATCGGTCTTGGTCATCTTGTATCCATGTTCAATAATCACTGAGTTGAACTTTTGATACCATTGGGAAGGTGCTTGTTTCAAACCACAAAGGCTCTTTACCAATTTGCAAACAAATA